AAGTCAGTTTGACCAACTTTTAAGCTGAGCCAAACAGGCTCTAAGTTTATGATGAGTAAAATAAGAATGCATTTTTCACCTTAAAAAAGGGACCAAAGAAGAAAATAAAGAGATGAAAATCATGTGAATTTTAGTGCAAAATGGATGAGTTGACAGCTTGAAATGACAAGTCTTACTGCCCTATAGTGTTTGAAAAGGGTACTTTCTTGTCCCACACATCATGGGAATCCTAAGAAAAATACAACAACCTTTTGAGTCATCTAAAACATCAAAATTACTTTTGAAAAAAACAAAAAAAGCCTTACAATATCTAACATAAAAAAAAATATCTTGGCATACTATAATGTATTTTTTTCTGAAAAAAAAGGACAAATTTTAGTTGCTTTTGAAGTTTGATATAGATGCATGGTTAGAAAAGAACTATATAGTTCTCAACATGGTTAGAGTAGAACTATATAGATGGTTCTGAACTATCTGTTAGTTTCTAGTTCAAACTATTTTTTTCGTTCGCTCCAAAAAGAATATAATCTCTTTAGATCATTTTTCTAGTCAAATAGTATCACAAAGTGGAACGAAGAGAGTGACTACATGTATTTTCCATTGAATGTATCATTAATAATTCGAAAAATATGGCAAGTACATGCTAAATATAAACATTGCAAAATATTAAAATTGTCCGTGTATATTAGTTATATCTGTTTGAGCGTTGAGGAAGACTCTACTAACGTTTGAGTTTAACTGATATATACCTGCAGATTCGATAAGGTGCTTATATTATCAAGCCATAGAAAAACATTTATAAATAACCCTTTATAAAGATCTAAAATTTATGAGGGAAAATTGTATATAATAGCAAACTAATAATCTAAAATAAATGGAATAGCTAGAGTTTGATTTAATTGTGCTCCATAGCAAACATTAGCTAAAATTTGCCAGCGTCTCTCTCCCAGAAATCTCGCTCACCACTCTCCATTCTCGCTCGTCTCTCTCGCTTTATACACAGAAGTGTATAATTCTGTTTCTGTTTTGTATAAAGCGAGAGAAAATTGTATATACACATGCAAAAATATATATCTTCGTGTTATACACTTAATTATACAATTTACAAACATTTTACTTCAAATATTACAGAGAAAAAGGTCAACGAATTATACAATTGCGAAATATACAATTGCAGTGAAATACAATTTTCTCTAGCTTTATACAACAGAAGTGTATATATTGTGTTTCTGTTTTTGTATAAAGCGAGAGAAAAAGATATATCTTCTTGCTATACACTTAATATTGCAGCGAAATAGGCAGTAAATTATACAATTGTGCATTATACAATTGCAGTGAAATAGGATAGCGAATTATACAATTGTAGTGAAATAGGATAGCTAATTATACAATTGTAGCGAAATAGGCCAGCGAATTATACAATTTAGGCCAGCGAATTATACACTTGTATATGTATAGCGAATTATACAATTTTATTTTTGCTATGGAGCGCAATTATGCAAAGTTTGCTATAGCATACAAATGAATTTTTTGTTTGCTATATGTGAAAGTTGCCCAATTTATAATCATAAAAATAAGATAGGTTACTCGCTGACATCTTAGGTTCATTCGCGCAGTTGGTAATATGTTTAAAGTTGGGCTTATAAGGTTCAAGTTTGGGCTTATTGGCATCTGTTCTTCTTAAATCAATTGGGCCATTAAGCAAACAAATTTTGGGTAAAGAAACTATTGGGCTTGAGTAAAAATGGGCCGCAAACTATGGGTCCAAAGTGCACAAATACTCGATTTTTCGGAAACTAATATTTAAGCCATATTCGTAGTGCATTAAGAAATTGTCA